ATATGACACCAGTGCGCTTAGCGAAAATGTTTAAAAATGTTTCGGATATTTGCTGGAAATGTAAACAACAGCCAGGCACTTATTACCATGCCTGGTGGACATGCCCTATCGCTAAGAAATATTGGTCTAAGATCCATAGATGGTTGGAAAAGATGATGAAACTACAGATAGAATTTAAACCGGAATTGTTTTTGTTAGGGATATTAAGACCTAATTATGATAAAGAGAATGACTATTTGATATTGCATGTTTTAACAGCTGCAAGGATAGTATTTGCCCAATTTTGGAAAAATGAGAATTTACCATCTTACCAGACTATAATTACTAAAATTTTAGAGTGTGCAGAAATGGATAGACTAACATTAGAAATGAAAGAAAAAGATGATTCAATTTATTTTAGAACTTGGGAAAATTTTATCAATGGTTAGAGCAGTGTTTCTCAACCTTGACAATTTTAAGGCATGTGGACTTTAACTCCCAGAATTCTACAGCCAGCGTTGCAGGCTGTGGAATTCTGGGAGTTGAAGTCCACATGCCTTAAAATTGTCAAAGTTGAGAAACACTGGGTTAGAGACACATTAGAATTGAAGGATTCAATATTTTAGAATAGATGACTGATTTTTAACTGAGTTCTAACTAATACTTGGATGATATGATTATTTTTCTTGATTTGCTGATTTTCATTTGTTACTTTTGATTGGTAGGAATTTTTGAGATTTTATTAGTAGTGTTTACTTAATAAATCAACATTTGTTTATTAACTGTTTTTAATATGTTATAGTCTAAGCTTCGGTAAAAATGCTTGAATATGATATTTACTCATTATTATGATATGGACGGTAGCTTGTTTGTTGAAATATGTGATTGTACCTCTCCTTATTTTACCCTAAATCCTTTATCCCCTTCCCCTTTCCTCCCACCCCCTCCCTTTACCATACCTGTATTGTTCCTATTTTTCCTTATTTATATAAACTTAATAAAATTTTGTTTAAAAAAAAAAGAATTCACATTGGAGAAAAAAACATATAAATGCCTGGAGTGTGGAAAGAGCTTCAGTGGGAGGGGAAGTCTTTCCAAGTATCAAAGAATCCACACATGAGGAAAAACCATATAAATATCTTCAGTGTTGAGAATTCTTCACAACAAGCACAAATCTGTACTGTGTGTGAATACAATGAGAAATTCTTCCTGAATCTGAATTCACCTGGGAGAAAACCCCTAAAAATTCATAGTGCGTGATACCCCTGGGTATCTCCGAGACCGTCTTCTGCCGCAGATTGCCTCCCATCGACCGGTACGCTCCCACAGAGCGGGCCTCCTCAGGGTGCCGTCGGCCAAACAGTGTCGGCTGGCGACCCCCAGGGGGAGGGCCTTCTCTGTGGGAGCCCCCACCCTGTGGAACGAACTCCCCCCAGAGATCCGGATTATTCCGGATCTCCCCT